CTTATGCTTGTAGAACTAATTAATACTGATCCGAGACGATGCGCGTAATCGAGCGCAGATTTCAGAAGCTAAACGGCGTCGGACACAGCGGACTTTATTCGACGGGTTAGAAAAAGACGTGAACGGGTGAAACGAGACAGGAGCAAGCCTTAGCACGGTAACCTACAGAACTGACGAGTGTTGAGCCGGATGCAGACTAACATGGCGATAATCTAAGGCAGATTAAAACAAGAAAGAATAATCTACAACTGATCAGCAATGAAATTGTACCTAAAAGATGAGCATTATCTTTTTGGATTCTACGGACTCCCTTTCCAACTACAATCACGATGTAACTGTATACTAATTAAAGGCATAACATTACTTGTTTCTACTTTGTGCTTTTTTATTAGTTATTGCTTCATTATTTTCTATTTTCGAACATCTTAAAATAACCAAAAATAATGTGTCAGCTGTACGCCGTAACGACGCTTCGCTGCCGTGCGATAACCACCAGCCACACCCGAGCTGAATATACCGCGAAGATGCCCACCTCTACGCGGATTCGATCCCACGCCGCAAGATAACGAGACAAGCTCGTTACTTCTAGGCTACAGACCGACTCTCTAGGCTACGGACCGTAGTTCAGTTCAGTACCATTGAACATCTATAATCCGGGCACCGAAGTGCAATGGATCCAGTTGCCACGGATCACGTCGCTAGATGAACAATAAATAGTAACGGCAGGAAAATGTTGTTGAATATAAATGGAGAGTAAGGAAAATGGAATCAAAAGGAACTGCATTAAGCTAAACCGAGTGGAATGAAAATTAAGAGCTAGGTGAAAGAAACCGAATGCAGGAACGCCACTGACTGCACAACTGCATCATGTCAGACAGAATTTTCAACCACTGATGTGGACCATCCCGGGACCCCCATCCATGAAGACGGGATGCACCAGTATGACTAAGTTTCGGTCAGTTTCTTTGTGCCTCTGTACCACGTCATAGACTGTCCACCTTGCTTTTCCCCCCAACTTGATGTAGCCATGGCGTATAGTGCACTCCGAGTAAGCCGGTCAACCGGCACATGGAGGGCATGACCTAGCCAACGTAAGCCGTTAAGTTTCTTTAAACAGTCGAGTGAAACACCAGAAGGCTTCTTGCCAAAAGCCAGCTTGTAGACCTCAGCATTGTTCACCCGGTCTTCCCACCATACGTGAGCAATACTCCGCACACACCGGTGATCAAGCAGGGCTATGCGTTTAATGTCTTCACCGCATCAGCAGTACGCCGGTACGCAGTACCGAGGCTTTGCTGCCGCACAACCACAACTGGTCGCACGTGGGCTAAGGATATTGCGAAGGTCGCCCTGCCCCTACGCAGGCTCGAACCCGCGCCGCAAGATTACAAGTCAAGCTCGTTACCTGTAGGCTACGGACCGGCTGTCTTCATTGCGAACTGCCCAAGTCCCTGATTCATGTAATGTCTCACTGCATTGTATTGCGCCACACTAGTTAATGTATTCCTCAAATGACGACGCGTATACTGATGGTGATCGGTTTCCGATCAAGCTTTTTTTAACTCTGGCTAGTTGAACTTTTGTTATGCGTTGCTTTATCCCAGCCATTAAGTCTAATTTGACATGATGAAACCAGTGTTGTTCCGAAGATGCGATGCATTCGTCCACCGACCCAGTCTCTCCATTTTGTTAAATGATTTCGTGTGCGGAAAACGAGCACGTTGAATGTACTGGGAAGGCGGTATACGACGAACACAGAAAGAACCACAATATCTTTTAATAGTCTCGAAACCGATCTAGAAGTCGTCGTTTTGTAAGGAATTGTGAACACACAGTTAGTGAGTCCACTGGGTGACGTTTCGTTTTTGACAAGAAAGCTTCTTCAGGCTAAGTGAACTAGCTAGTACACACACATTGTCACCACTACAGCCGGTTTTGCGCCATTGCTTTGAGCGTTGCAACTTATCGACATTCTTTATCTTCAGGTCGTTTATTCGGTAGACCTACGGGGCCAGCGATAGTTCGGTAAGGTCACTTTTCCATGCTTCGTCGTCAATCGATCGACCGGCCTTCATGTGGCCTCTTCCAATGCAGACCTGCGTGGACAGAGGGCGCGGCGTTGTAATGCTTGCTGTGCATGCGCAGAACGTGGTTAAACCACCTCAGTTAACAGCATACCAAGTTCGCAGAGTAGAAGATTCACAATACCAAAGACACGGTGTCTGAATCAATAATACGCACTCAGTGTTGCTATCGCACACCGGCGGTCCTATGAACACAACCACTGTCAACTCCCGAAAGCCTATGCATGTTATCTACACTAATCGGTCAGGATTCGCATCCGTCGGACAGTATCGCGCGAACACGCATTGTAAAGCCCGCCTTTTCCGATAGCGAAATGTCGCAATGGTGCTACACCTCTCAAGTTGGCAATGCTCCACTTGATTTATCCATACGAAGGGTAGCCTCCTCTCCGTTAGTGTGGTTTCTGAAAATTCGGACATGTCATGGTTGTTGCTATTCCGAATCCATGCTCATCAAACTGGTTGAAGTTCCACTTTAAATCCGGCCTTCGACATCCCTGCTCCGCGTGGGGTAGTTCATCTCCATGCGGCTTGAGTTCCACAATAAAATTATCGCTTCATCAGTGGAGTTTAACTACTTTAATAATTCCTATTATTTCTTTGCCTAATTGTGAAAGTATCATTTACGTCGCGTCATCATACTTTTGGTGCACTACCGAAAGTTAGCAACCACTTTTCGAAGTCTCCCATGTGCATATTTGCCAGTACGGAGGATATCTTGGATCACATGGCAACATTGTTATTGGGTGCATGTTCTGGAATAAATGTGAACCAACGCTTGAGGGAAAATTCTACCTCCTAGGTCAGTTGGTCCACTGTAGAACTTGTTGCATCACCTATTTTGTTAACCTCAAATATACAGTTTCCCGCAATTAGCGTTTCGGTTTTGGATACTTTCGTGAACGGAGGGGTAACATTGAGGCTGATCATCATTTTATCTGGCTCAATAGTTACGCCCTATCACTTGTGCGAGTTCATAAGATTTCGTTACGAATGGGCTGGTTCTTCTATTTGGGGGTTACAGCAGGCCCACTATATTACCTGTCGATTTCATGCGTTGGGGAGCGTTGCGTCCACTATAGGCCCCATGCGAACGTCGGCCTTGTGTTCTTCTGGTAGGCCGTAAATCCTAGATAAAATGGCCAAATTCGGGTAACTGCGGTACCACACATTGTCATATATTGCCTTTAACTGCCAGACTATTATTTTTGTTCAGTATTGGTGCCACCGTTTTGTGCTCAGCCATCTTTCAAGGTCTAGTGATTAAATCTTCCTCTTTTGCTTTTTCGTTAATTTTGTGGAGACCTCATTTCACTTAAATGACTTCGTACCGGACTCCTTTTTCTAACTTGTAGTTCCGCCATACTGTTTTCCTGTGAGGACTACGCAGCGGGTTTATCAGATGACATCCACTTCCGTTCTCCTCAGAGAGACACTTTGACAGTTATCTTTGTCTGACATGGCTAACTATGCTGTAAACATGAAGGCATACATACCGTGTACACTTTTGGCTGTTTGTAAAAAGTGCTTCCCCTGATGATCTTCTTTCTCAGGGTTGTGAGGGGGTCTTGCACGTTCCGTATTCGTCTCCTTTGACGACAGAGTCTTGCGGGACGTGCAAATTCGAATTTGATCAGCTACTCTCAAGCACAGTACACACTCCGCAATAACCGAATTTTTCGTCCAGACTAGGAAGCGTATCAACCGAGGAGGTTACAATTGCCACCGCTATTTTACCCTTATAAGTCTTTGTAATGACAATACAAGGATTTTTCTACAGCCTAGTGCTATTCGTTCAGCTAGCGCAAGATTCAATTCACTCGGCTGTTGAAATTTGATTTTGTTATCTGTGCGCGAATGCTCTGCTTTTGCCACAACTACTATCGTCACTAGAGTTTCAATCCAAGGGATCACCTCTGCATTTACCCTTAGTTCCATTGCTAGCCAACTTCGAACTCTTTTCTCTCCACAGGCTCACATAATACCTTAGCTCACGTATTAACAACGCAACAACCATTGTTTTTAACTACATGCTTGTTGGTCTAGCCGTAAGTCTTGCTCTGTGTAGACATAAAACGTTGTATTTGTCCTTCCTCCGTCCCGAAGGGTTTGTCCAAGTTTGTCATAATCATGCTGTGGCACGGCGGCCTGTAGGTACATGCTTAGTCGATTCGCGTGGGGTGGATTTTACACAGACGTATAGTTATCAGGTTGATCCATTGCATCAAAAGCGCTTTACTTGTGCGTTTGGCTATCTTTGTTGAAGTATCCGGAGGTTCGACAACGATAGATTTGTGAATGATCTTATTATTGTGGTATTTAATGTCGAAAATCTGATGATTCCTACAGTTTTTTTCATCCTCGCCAAACGAACAAGATTTCCGTTTTTAGGACACGAGATCAATATATACATTCGACGTTTGAAATATTCTTGGAAACAGATTCAAAAATCTCCTGTTTATTCTATCTGACTTTTGGCTAATCACTAGCTACTTATTTACTCCACGTTAGCGAGCGATTGGGCGGAATTTCACTAAGACTTCAAGTCACCTATCTGCTCTTTTCTAAACCTATAAATTGCGTTTCTAGGGTTTGATTACACTGCTCTCATCCAAATTTTCGGCAATACTGTCTGTATTGCTCAGCCTTTCTATTCTTAATGTTTTCGTCCCAGGAGCTCACAAGCTACATGGCACAGCCTAGTCCGGAAAGGCACCAGACGCCTTTCGCCCTATTGGGGCTTCATTATTCATCCTTATCATCTGCTTGAGACATATAACGCTATTAGTTACTTTCCTTGTTACATACATTTTTCTGATATTTCACATTCCGAATTCTTACTTATTTTTCATTACCTCGACTCAAGTACTTCCTTCCAAAATGTGTTGCCCGCATACTCCACACCTTTTCCTTTCAGAAATGGACAAGTTTGAATCCCTTTTAACTCGTTTGGAGAGGGTAACTCACCATCTGGAGATGGCAGTCCCTACAAAGATTGAACCATTTGCGCCCAACGGTAAACCTCCACTCTTTGTGCATTCTGCTCCAACAGGTGACATCGACAACAGCCTGACACTGAAGGACTTCAGTGACATCGTGTCAGGACCTTTAGCAGAATATTTAACTTTGAGTTCTAAGATTGGGGGAGACGTTGGAGAGCAGGTTTGTCACTGGAGTTTCATGATGGGAAATGTAGAGTGGGCTTTTACGCGAATGTTTCATATCTCAACAACGTTTGTTGGAGCTAGTTGTTTCACATCCCAAACCTTCTGACTCTGAATTGAAGGATCTCATCCGAAGACACTGCGAACCAATAAGTGCTGTCGTTGTGCGTTTCATATTTATACGTGGTCTTATTTTTCATCAAAGGAGTTTAAAGATAAACGAAGAAGTAGTCCCCATTTCAACCACATATCTGCTGTTGCTGAATCTGCCGTAGCCTTGGGCTGGGTTGGCGTGGTAAATCGTTTCAGTGATGTTAGTTATTTTCATTCTTGATGTAGTCCCCGGCCCCTGCGCCATATGTGAAGGATATGCAAGAAGCCGCCCACTTCTTCACTAATCGTGTTCTCAAAGACAACAAGGACGCGTGAGTTTTAGCTCATTTCCATTACTCTAAACCAAGCGCTGTCCACTACAACAGTTCCCATGTAAGAGCAGTTTGTCCAAGTTTCATGCAGGTTTTTTACTTAGATATTAAACCAGTGAAATCGACTAAACGCTAGAGCTACTAGGTAGTCAAGCTACTCGTCCAATCTGATATTTTGATATGCTGGAGAGTGACCAAAATATATCCTTCCATAATATGTAGTTAGTTTCTTATCAGGATTCCAGGGTTCTTACCCAAAGTTATGTCTGCATAAAGCATTCGAAAATCATTCGATTTCATCAAGGAATCTAGAAGTATGGGTTATATTTCTTAGGCCTCATGAATCCTACCCGATCCAGTTGATATGAGGAAGGAACCCGTCTAATCCTAGTGCTCCACGGATCGCCCCATCAGGAACTAAGACCTGTCGATTATCATATACGGTTAAAAGTTTACATCACTGCTATTAACGTTGCGACTCATACTCAGCTCTACCATGTGTGTGATCAGATTCCTTTGGTTTAGTGGTTAAAAGTAGCATGTGTCCTCTATTCCATCCATCTACAGTCCACTAAGCCAATCCAATAATTGTATCAACTTCGCTTCTGGCCTCCCTCTGTTCAACTTTGTACACTACACAACTATTCGGTCGAACCTACACCGAGCGTTTTGTCCCAACGGGGTATATTCATACTATTGTCATGATAGGGTATATGGCGCCAAATAATCGATTAACCCCATCGCGACAAGATTAACCTTAACGCGGTGCGATGTTTCGCGTTCCTCAACGATCCATTGAGCTCTACTGAGTGGTATTTTTTACACCTGAGTCACTCATACCAAATCGGTCAATGGTTAGAGGACGGACAAATGCAGTCACCTGATCATCCAAGTTGGGAGTGGCAGTGAGGGCGACTCCGTAAAACGGACTCTGTAGCCCCGTGCCCAAATCCCGCTGTCATGCGGCCATGTTTGTGAACCAAAGGCTTTGGTTGAGTACCCTAATCGTTCTCCTGTCAAAATCTCGGAAACCTGACAGTATCTTGCCCACGCAATACATTGACTTTACTTTCTAACCTTTTCCTGATGCTCTGGCCGTCGCGGAAGATACACAACGGCGTCCTATCTGCTGCATTGATCAGCATGAATATTGGTGGGGATTCTACTGCTCGCACCTTTACATATTTATCCTCCTGTCCCAGCTTCACTTTTATCCCCCTGTTTTCAACACCCCAGCTCGTCCTCCTCCATCGTGCTTTGATAGACTTTTGTCTTCTAGATCCCGCTCACACGCAATTGCAGAACGTCTCCCAAGTCCAGTCGACGAGCCCATGTTTAACCCAGATATATATATATATATATATATATATATATATATATATATATATATATATATATATATATATATATATATATATATATATATAAAGTGACTTAGCATGCAAACACGCGGTTAGTAATTCGAATGCAGCGTACCTACAAACGCTGCGCCGGTTCTGCCTACCTTCTTTACAGGACCCGTCGTCGCTTCGGTAGTGGTCCCGAGTTGCATCACTCATGACTCACTAGGTCTGCCTGACTCAGGCACTCGCGATCGCACGTGATACAGCACCATGCGCTCGATGTCGATGGAGTACTACCCATCGGCGTTTGCCGCTTCCGCACTTTCCGCTTCTTCTTTGCATTTATGAAGTCTTTCTCCTGCACTTCGGCAACTGCCTTCGTGATCAGATCGCGCCATGCACGCCGATCAACCGCCTTCGGCTTCCATCACCTGCAATCATGATTAGAACGTGAGAGGCTCACTTTGATCATATCCTGGTAACGTAACTTTGGTTTCCCCCTATGCCGCTTCCTAATACTCAGCTGATCATATTGTCCGGGAGATTGTAAGAATTGCCTTGGAATTCCACTATTTTAACTATTAATCGATTGTTAACGATTATCGCATCGATTTCGAACTTTCCGGAATATTCTACTTCTGCACGTGATTAAAAACCATCTGACACCTCGACAACAGCTATGGGGAACCACTAACCTTGGTAGCTGACCTTCCAATTCTAGAAGTCGAAGGTCAGTAGAGACCTATAAATACAGCCAAGGTCCGCAGTAGTTGTACAGTGTTCGTTGGCGGCGATTAATACGTTACTTTGTCAAGGTCATTGGCGTTTTGCTTTTTCCTTCGGTTGGGCTAGAAGTTTTGTGGAGCAGTAAATTGTTATTTTTGAAATTTCGTCTAGTGAAAAGATTATAACAAATGGCGACAGAGAAAATTGGAAATGTAATGAATTTTTCTGCTGAACAATTTCAAAAGCTGCTTTTCCAACAGCAAGCTCAAATGGAGGCACTAATGAAAATGATTGAAAATCTGACAATGCTTGAGTTTGCAGACAACAGGAGCAGCGACGCGGGACACGCGGGCGAGTTCTGTTGATCTTCTCACGAGCGCCGTCACTGAATTCAATTATGATGCGGATTCTGGATGCAGCTTCGAAGCGTGGTTCAAGCGTTGGGAAGACATGGACTTCATTCGTCAGGACGACTCTTGGAAGGTGCGATTGCTACTCCGCAAGCTTGGAATAAGTGAACATGCAACGTTCATAGACCACATTTTGGCCAGACAGCCGAAGGATCTGACTTTTGATGAAGTAATGTCGCAGCTGAAGGAAATTTTTGATGAGTCAGTATCTTTGTTTAGTATTCGCTATCAATGCCTGAAAATTGTCAAACAGGAATCTGACGACTTTGGGGCCTTAGCAAACATGATTAACCGTGAGTGTGCACCTTTCAAACTACGCTCTTTAACGGACGATCAGTTTAAGTGCCTCATTTTCGTCAGCGCTCTACAATCGCCCAGTGATGCTGAGAACCGCACTCGGCTTTTAGCTAAGCTGGAGCAGGATCCTGATCTGACACTGAAGACCCTCGTAAGCGAATGCAAACGGCTGCTCACTCTAAAACACGACACTGTCATGGTCGAACGCAATGGTCTCGCACCACGAGATACCGTGCAACTCGTGAAAAAGGCCAGGATTGGCAACCGAAGCAAACCCTTCCAGAGACCTACGAAGAAACCGCCCACAGCATGCTGGTCATACGGCGAATGGCATTTCGCGCGGTTTTGTCCCTTCAAACGTGCCATAAGCGTGGGCATAAAGAGGAATGCTGCAATCAGGTCTGGTCGAAGAAACTGCACAAGTCTTATCGAAAGGGGAATTCTAGGAAGGATGGCGCAGAGTCTCTGTCCATAGTTGCCGCATTCCAAAGCCAGTGTAAACCGAGGCGACGATTTATCAGTGTGTTAATCAATGGGATCCCAACGAAGCTGCAATTTGACACGGCGTCGGACATCACGATTATTTCCAGGAGCACATGGAATCACATTAAGAGGCCGAAGATGGTCGAGTCTCAGAAAGTTGCACATAATGCATCCGGCGGTGTGTTAAACTTAGTGGGCGAACTCAATTGGAAGATTTCTTTCCAAGGTGTGGAAAAGTCGGGAACATGCTACATTTCAGACCGGCCGAATTTGAATCTTGGCCTCGACTGGATTGAAAAGTTGAATCTCCTCGATATCGACCGGTGGCCGAGTGGTCTGCACGTTTGGTTTGCAACCATAAGGTCACTGGTTCGAACCCGCGTAGGGGTGGGCGTCCTCGCGGTATACTCAGCCCGCGCGCGACTGGTGGTGGTCGCGCGGCAGCGAAGCGCCTTTACGGCGAACAGCTGACACATTATTATTATTTTATTATTTCCCTTGAATCAGATCTGCAGCCGAGTTCGAAGAAGTCCAGACCCATCAGCAAAGTCCGTCGAAGACATGACACGTACCCTGAAGCGAAAACATGCTTCTGTCAGGATGGCTTGGGCCATTGTACGAAATTCAAGGCGACACTGAACTTGCGACCAGGTGCTAAACCAGTGTTCAAGGCTAAAAGCCCGGTACCATACGCAGCCATGTCAACCGTTGAACACGAAGTCGATCGACTGGAACGTGCCGGAGTCATCACACCCGTCAACTACTTATCATGGGCCGAACCTATTGTCGCAGTGAAGAAAGCAAACGGTAAGGTACGCGTCTGCGCTGACTTCTCAACTGGCCTCGACGCCGCACTGGACGACCACAAGTACCCATTACCTGTACCGGACGATATCTTGGCAAAGCTGAATGGTGGTAAGTACTTTGTTAAGCTTGACCTATCCGATGCTTATCTTCAAGTGGATGTTGACGAAGTCTCGAGGGAGTTGTTGACGATCAACACTCATCGTGGGCTATTGCAATACAACCGCTTGCCAGTTGGTGTGAAAACGGCGCCAGCCATCTTCCAACAGTTGATGGATACCATGCTAGCGTGTGTTTCTGGAACCGCTGCATATCTGAATGATATTATAGTGATGGGTCGAACACCGGAAGAACTGTTTAACCGCCTGGATGAAGTGCTTGGTTGTATACAGTCGTACGGTTTCCGCATCCGTGAAGATAAATGCACATTTTTCACGCCGATCATCAAATACCTTGGTTTTATCCTCGAAAAGGACGGACGTCGACCAGATCCGGAAAAAATAGAAGCTATTAGCAAAATGCCTCCGCCAACAGATCTACAGTCCTTGCGTTCATTTTGTGGGCTCATCAGCCACTACAGCGCATTCTTGCCTGAGATGCACCGCCTGCGTGCCCCGTTAAACAAGCTAATAGCCAAAGGCCAAACATGGAACTGGACATCAGAATGTCAGGATGCCTTCGAACGCGTCAAGTCACTGCTGTCCTCAAACTTGCTTTTGACTCATTTTGATCTCTTCAAAGAGATTGTCTTGGCAACAGATGCATCAAGCCATGTGATTGGCGCAGTAATATCACACACGTACACCGATGGATCTCAGAAAGCAATCACTCATGCCACCAGAACACTTACGAAGGCCGAGAAGAATTACAGCCAGATTGAGAAAGAAGCATTGGCCATAGTGTATGCAGTCAAGAAGTTCCACGAAATGCTATACGG